TCTAATGGCATTCTCTGATCACTTTGATTGGTAACGTAACTTTGTAAGAAGCTGAAATAAATTTGAAAGCACATGAGAATATCATAGGGACGCATCTGATAAAAATTATAGGTAATAAATTATAACTTAATTACAGCCTTGGGAGCGAAGGAGAGAAACTAATCCAATTTATGAGGCGTCATCGCTAAATGGACCCTCGCAAAAGCAGCAGTTTACGATGCAAAGTCACGGACAACGTGCAGAAACTCGAGAACAATCCAGAGAAAGTCAGAATGTGCGTACATTTACAGTTACGACCTATAGTGAGTCATGAAACACCTTCCATTGAAACAAATTGTTTTATGCATGACTCTGAAGGCATTTCCTCAACAATTCGATTGGTAACGTAAAAGAAGCTGAAGTGGGTCACCCGATAATAACAGAGTAACGCTGTTATTCTAAAATAGTAGGTGATAAAAGGAAATGCTAAATGCAGCCTTGGGGTCGAAGGAGAGCACTTCATCTGTCAACATTTCAGCTAGTGCATCTCAAAACAGCTAATTTGACCACAAATAAGTTTGTGTCATGATTTGACGGCTGGAGAATCTTTTCAGACTGACCAGAACAAGGATTCAAGCAAGCAAAATTACGAAGTTGTTGTTGACTTCATTACGCAACAGCTGGCTGAGAGGAGTGCTCTTTATCAAAAGCATCGTCAGGAGGCAAATGCTGCTAAAAGTTTGAAGTATGCATAATTGTTGTAGTGCTCGAACTCTGGACTGACTTTTCGCCTTTTTCAATGTTCCACTTGAGATATATTTTTGGTTTTTATTAGCCCCTGAAGTTTTCCAATGATTTGGGCTGCATTCGACTGGAAAAAAATTGTTCCATTGTGTCTATATAACAGCTGAAAGCGTTGTTCAGATTAATTAACCAGTGTAATATGTAGATGACTGATACGGTATAGGAATCCGCTCAAAACCGCATTCAACATCACATTTCTTTTCGTTTTCAATACACGTTTTCAATTTCAATATACGACTTGACAAGAAAAATAGTGTTCTGATATTCCGTGGAACAAGATGAGCATTCAATGGTAAAAGCGCTGCCAAACTGGATCGCTCGCTTCGAATGCCCAATCCATCTCCATAGTTGACTTCAACCATACTGAATGAACTGAAACGAAGGCCGTCACTTGATAGTCAGATCAAAATGAAATTTGCAGTGCAACGGATTCCTATACTGCATCACTTTCAATCAAACAATGGATCAGCGAAGAGGAACAACGTGCTGACCACACATCTAATCTTCTATCATTTCTTGCTTCGATTGCTCATGGTGATACGGTAAATTCATATGAGGTAATTTTGACTGTAGGCATTTTCATCGGATTGTTTTCGCTCTTGATTGAGAACAAAACAGAAACGATTAAAATCAGGTTCCTTGATTATGGCCGTAGGAAATGAAATCAACATTCGGCAATGATAAAAATGACTTCGAACCTGCAANNNNCTCCTGAGAAAATTATGGAAGTCCTACGACCTGTCATTCGTGCTCAACTTGTAAGTCATTTTCAATTGTTCATCCATTTTCCACTACCCCTTCAATATTTGTTTCCTCTTTTCAAGAAACCGGAAAATTACTTCAGTTTTATCCATTGCATCTTTTGATTTCATCCACACTTTTCTCTTTAAATCACGCAGCTCTAGTGACTCTTTACAGATGAATTTTTTCTCTGCATCAAGCGAGCGCCAGCATTCTGTGAGGGAAGATGATGTTTAGAAATGATCAT